GAGAATCCATACTGAAATAATCTAATTTACATACTGAAGAACCCATCCGTGTTTTCTATGCTGATTAAACACTAAATTATAGGTTCACCATTGTTGTCTTTTTCTTTTTGCATGGTTATGTATTACTTTCTTCAAAATATATATTTCACATCTAATTTACAGGTTTAGCAGAGTTTATATTTAGAGATTTGGAGATTATTCCTTTGCATTAGTTTGGTAAGAACAAACTCTGAAGATATGTAGCAGCATATCGTATATTTTACTGGAATAGGAAATAGCTAATGTCAAATGTTACACTGGAATGGTAATCTAACATTTTTTTTTTAAATACAGTTTTCTTTGGGGGCAGATAAAAACTGTCCAATCTTTAAATCATTTAAAATTAAATTGTTTCTTTTATTACTCTTAAATTTGCCCACCACCCATAATTTTAGAATACTTCAAAATGTTCACTTTTTTAGTATATGTGCTGCCAAAGCGAGCACTCAAAATGTTCACTTTTTTATATTGTTAATGTAAGACCTGGTCAAGTATGCAATTTGGAAAACGTAAAAGAGAACAAAAAGCCACTCCACTTCAAGAATTCCATTACATTTGTCACAGTATTTCTGTTTATTTTAATATAAAACTTTATACTATTTTTTGCTGAACATAATATAGTGAGCTTTTATCTGTGGCATTTAAGTGGAGATATGCTTAAAGCTTTTGATCCAATGGAAAAAAGGCAAATCTCCTACTGAGAACTTCCAGAGTAAGACACACTTTTTAATTTTTTATGAAGTGGACGATGATTATTCCTGAAATGAGAAGATTATGAGCTCTTTTCAGGTTGCCTGAGGACTTTATGCACATCCACCTGCATCTCTTACAAAGTCTACTTTTTGTGATCTAGGGATGAGATTTTTATATTTCTGGTCAATGGACAGAAATGACCCTGAAAATTAGGGTAACCACATTATCTAAAGTGAGGGTGATTATTAGTGACTTTACTGGACAAAGACATGAACGAGTGCTGCCCTGGTCAAACAAGGACATAATTAAGTAAGGAATAAGAAGAGAAATTTTGGTGATGGATTCTCAAAAATTAATATCAGTTGAAGAAGTTTTTGTATATATTAGGGTCAGCAAACTATAATTTACTGGTCATATCCAGCCCAACATTTGCTTTTGTATATCTCCTCAGTTAAGGATAATATTTATGCATTTAAATGATTAAACTAAAAAACTGGAAATGTGTTTTCTTTCTCATCATATAAATACATACATGATATCTGATTTTACTTCTTAAATTGCAAAACCTAAAATATTTCTTTTCTCTTAGAAATATTCCCTTTTCTCTTAGAAATATTCCCTTTTCTCTTTAGAGAAAAAGTTTGCCAACCTTTGTATAGGTTTATACTTCTAGTCTAACCATTCATGTTGTTTAATACTTTGCTTCCTATCCAAATCTTTTATTTGGCATTTTTCACAACAGACTAAGATATCAACCACTGTAAAGAAAAAGAAAAAAGATCCCTTTGAACTCCAGAGAATATAATTGTCCCCACAACACATGGATAAATACTGACTTACAAAGTAAGCATATTATTAAATTCAGCTTCAGCTAAGAATTATCACTGAAAACTATTTATGCTAAAGATAATTTAGACTCATTTGGTAAAACTCAAATCTTTAAAAATTATCATAGAATACCTGGATCTCTAAAACTCTACCGTCTGTCAGTGAATCACAAACTCCAGTTTAAGAAATACTAATCTATCATATTCCAGCGGTACTGTATGGTCTGGAAAAACATTCAAAAAATTGTTTCTCTCTTAAAGGCAGGTGTTAAAACTGAGAAGACCTCGCCGTCTTCTTATTTTATTTTCTTATTTTTTTCTAGGTTTTCCCCCCTCTTCCTTTCCATAAAGGTATTATGAAATGGTTTAAATACACAGTCAAATTTTTATAACAATCCATAAAACTGCAGTAAAAATGTTCTTTATAATATTCTATAAAACACACTTAGAAAAAAACCCTGATATTATCCAATCAAGTTACTACTAATTTTACTAAGTCTGGGATATTGTAATGTACTTTCAATTAAATTACCAAAATAAAACATCTTGTTTTTATCTCTATCTTTAGATTGCTTATTCAGGTACTTCTTTAGTGAATTCTTTTTTTTTTTTTTAATTAGGTGCATTGATTAACATTTTTATTTTTCAAAGCCCGTATTAATCTCTAAGATTATATCTGACATTTATTTGTTGACCTCATGTATCTTTCTTATGACCTTTCTGGTAATGGATCATTTGAATCATAACTTTTAATGGAAAAAATAAAACTGAACGTCACGAGTAAACTATAATTTTTGTTTACCATCATCTGAGAGTTAGGGGGCAAATTTTACATTTATTAACAATTAAGCATCTTCTACATATTCCCACAGGGGTTTCAATAAATAGGCAAAATTATATCAGTGTGGGTCACACATATTAAATTCAACCAATGAATAAAATTTCCATTTAACAACCGCACAACAGGAAAAAATAAAGTTAGTGTTAAAAAAGAACATAAATGTTTAGTATTCCACATTTTATATTCATATCCTTTCCTCACTCCCTGCAGCTTGGAAAATTTACATTATCTTTGTTAATCACCTTCCTCCATGCAGTTTATAAACAAGTATTAGAGTAGGGATAAAGATAAGAGAAAATAAACAAATGTAAGTTCAGTCCCTATTCACTCTGCCTTCTAAGAGCTCAAGTAGTGATATTGTAAATTTCCATTAAAATAAAGCTGACTGGGTTTCAAATCCTCTAGTCTTTGGTTGGCTACCTAACATCCTACCACCTCCAGAGAATATTAGGTTTACTTTCAAAAGGGGAAAAACACAGAGCAAATAACTTAAAGTACAGCAAAAAGCTTTGAGATGGGGACACACAAAAAAAGTTTAAATGTAAAAACAGAAAAAGGACAAGACAAAAACTCAGTAAATGAATTTCTTTGTGAAATCAGCTTGCTGAAATCAACGTAAATTTGGAAATTCTATGATTATCTAATCAATATTGATAGCGTTGACTGTCAATTGTGGTCATTCAAATTCCCACACCTAAACTATTTGTCCAGCCAATGTCCAGTCAGAACCTCATGGCCTGATAGATTAGACCAGGGGTTTTCGGCAGGAAGAAATTAGGTTGTTCTGTTTGCAAAATTTACATTTGCTGTCAGAAATCCCATACAAATTACAATTCCTGCCAGGGTATGTTGTGCAATGTCAAGTGAAGATAATTACCTGCCAATCTGCATAATTAGTGCCCCCATCCCCCAAATTCCCACTTACGGATGCCTATTTTATTCAGGTAAATGAGGAGAATTCTTTCCCTTGTCACTCTGCTAAATCATGCAAAATGTTTTGATTGGTACATTAGCTAGCAGGGGAAAAGTGTGAATATTGGCAGAACTTTGTGTTCAGTTTTTATTCAATCTGAGAACAATTCAATGAAAGTAAAATCCTTCATACATGGCTCATCTAATGGTTTGTTTCACCTTCTATTGCAAGTATTACGGGAATTTTGTGATGAAACTTATAAAACATTTGTAAACCATAATGTGTGCTATAAATGTAAGGTACTGTTGTGCTAAGTCAAGCTTCTAAGTAACTCGATGAAATTCTTCCAACGAATCAGAATTGGTAGAATAATGAGACCTAAGTCTTGGAAGCAATGCGTGCAACTTTTGTTGGCCTGCTTCCTGTCTACCTTCTTTCTAAATGTATCACTGTGTTTTTACATGTTTGAGGTTTTTAAAAGAATATATTTTTAACCTAAGGGTGCAATTTTAGGGTAGAGATAAATATATATTTGTCAAATCTAAATAGAAAATTTAAAACAAGAATACATAGTGATTTCATCTTATGTACTGTTTCACTGACTTAAGTACTGATGTTTGGTTCTCACCATTAGAAATGCAGAAAGCCAAATGAATGCACATATCATTTGTTCACCTCATTACAACTTGCAGCAGACTTTCTCACCATAATTCACTCTTAATTCCTTCTTCAGAGAAGGAAGGCTGCCAGCCACAATCAATTTACAAAGATATCTTTAAGAAAGAATATGCCATTCTATATAAAGTATGTTGGATTTTCATCCAAGAGAGAGGAAAAAACAGAGAAACTTCCATGCAAGGATCTTCAGAATGCCTATTTTCCCACATAGGTAGGTGTTAGCAGTGCTGTTGGGAGATGAGACAAAAATTCCACGGAATCTATTAGTACATGTAGAAAGTATTTTCTTTCTCTTTTAAGTCTCTGAGTTGTATAAAAGAAGATAATTGACCTGTTTGAATAGATAAGATTAAATAAAGAAGATGGCCATTACAATTATGGATATAATCTGATAACAAAGAGTAAGCATATATATATATATATATATATATATATATATATATATATATATTGGTTGATGGAAAAATATAAAAAGTGGAGAAAGTTTAATGAAAAAAATGAGTATGGTAAAAACTATTTTTTGCTTCAAATTTTTTCTCTACATCTCACATGATATAAGGCTTTTTTATGTCTCTAATGTTTCTGTATTCAGCACTATTTTAGTTTAAAAACAAACACTTTCTTAACAGAGATACATTTTGACTTAAATTAGTTTTGCCTGAAATGTGAAATTTCTCTAGATAACACATGAATAAATCATTCTTTATATTAACGATGAGAAGTTCTTCTACTGCCCACTTAACATGTAAAAGCCAGCTAGGTAACTATCTTAGGAATTATTTTGATGAAACTGAAGAATCCAAGTTCTGTTTTGTTAAAAAGCAAAGTAAGATGACAGCTATGCACGGTGTCCTCTAAATCAACAATTGCTGCAGCATTATCTTCTCTACTCCATCTTAATTTAGCAGAAATCAAAGGATTTTAAATCAAACTGGTACATGCATCCATTCACTTCTCGTCCAATCAAAACTGAATTACCTGTCAACAGAGAAGTACGCTTACAAGTGTGAAACCATTTGACCATGTTATATTTTAATTTGCAGAGACAAAAATGACAAGCAATTTATTTACATAAAACTGTACAAAAGCAAATTAAATTATGTAAAGTATTTCATAAATAGTTGGACGAGTGTTTAATACATTTCGCCATGTTTAGCATAGTTGCGTGCATAGTGACTCATAATAAACGATGATAAATTGTTCTCTGCTTCACTATCAACATCCAAGTAGCAGAACAATAGTCAATGATTAACATTACAAACAGATCGTACCACATTGAATGCAAGTGCTTAAAATGTAGGAAAAGTTGTCTGAAAGTAAACCCTAGGCAGCTAAAAGAATGAGGCCTTCCTCCAGATGTTGTATCTACCTCTGCCTCAGTCACAACTGACCAGCTTTAGAATATTCTTGATCATCTCCACTGCCCCCCCCCCAAGGACACATTGCATATTTATCATGGATACAATAAAACTAAAACTACTTGGGTCTTCAGCTTTCTCGGGCCTGTGTTTAGGATGGCTTGATTCTTGGCGGTTTCTTCTGGTCTGTGTGCTATTTTATTTTCCTATGAGAGCTTCCTAGGGTAGCCTTTCAGCCAGACATCTTCAGTACCATCTTAGTTTCTCTTCCCATAAAAATAATGCCTCCCTTGTTTTCTGAAACTCAGGCAGCAGGCCAGTCAGAAACCATACAGAAGTGATATCTGGAGGTTCCGAATGAGCATTAGATTTTAGACTGAAGCTACAGACGTACACTTAAATTTTAATACACATAAATTTATATAGTTACTCATTAATTTATAAATGTGTCCTAATGTATAATGCATGCAAAGTTCACTTGAGAGTCTTGTGTACAGAAAAGAAGTATGGTTTATATACTGTACAACCAAAATGAAACAGCAGCTAAAGGAAAAATAACAACGAAGAAGAAAGAATAGAAATTCGAAATCAATATTTGACCTTGCAAAATGGACTGATTTCACCCCTGATAATCTCTCTCTGTGCTACTATTACAATAAATGCTTTAGCCTTCTAGTCAGAATTCAACAGCCCATGTTAATGCCTTAATTTTGTTTTATGAATGAACGATATTTAAGACTGGTCCATTATCTGAGTTTGTCAGAAGGCAAATTTTTAATATATTATTTATTATCTTCAGAAAATAAACATGGATAAATATACAGGATCAAAAAAGTTGGGAATAGCCCATTTTCCCTCATTGTCCAAACCCAACAACCGTTTTTTTTTACCATAACAACAGGTATAAAAGGCACAGTTGCTTGTTTTGCATTCACTCATTTATTTTTTTTTGTTTCTTTTTATTGATTTTTTTCAAAAGCACTCTATATATGGAGTGGCACCAGATTTAGCCTATTCAAAATAAAAGTCATACAAACACAAAATATATTTCTGTGTCATGCCAGCTCATTATATAATAAACATGTTATGAGAGCTAATTCTACTAGAATTACTGAGAATACTTACAGTACACTGAATTTTATTCTTTCACACCCATTTTAGTTCTAAAGAGAGGCTCACGAGTTAAATGACAATGACATGGCTGTCTTGAATGTGGTGCAAACGTCATTGGGGAATGTGGATCCAATTAATCCGAAGGTCCAGTATGACCCGTATTAGCTTTCTAGACAACGGAAGGGTTTTAAGATAGAGTGAAATGAGCTATCTAATGGTTTCAAGTGTCTCATGAAAGAAAGAAAAAAAATGCATTAAAAAAAGTTTGTTGAACACCTGTGTTATGCAATTGAGTATTTGCTTTGTAACGTGCAAGAAAAAATATGTATACATTTCATAAGTATCTTTAGAAGCATTTTTGTCTTAATAGGTACTTACAGATTATACAAGGCAGAACTGCTTTAATGCAGTTTCCTAACAAAGTACTAGAATTGCATCTTTCCATCATGTAAATAATAATCAAACATAACCATGTTCAATTATTGATATTTTAGTCCAATGTTTTCATTTCAATTACATATCTTCTTTCATCCTAACTATTCTACATAAACTAACATCAAAATGAAAACTCCATTTAAGAAAGAGCAGAAGGAAATGACCCCGAAAGAGTAGCCCACCAAACAAGAGAAGTGGTTTTCAAAGATAAACATTTTGTTGACCTACAGTGAGTTTACAACCTCTTGTCCAGGCTGCTTCACCTTATAGTCTAAGAAACTCTGTAAAGAATAAAACTATCCAAAACTACATTATTTCTACAGTTTGCTAGAGAGCCATCAGGCTATGTCTTAACCAGGTTGCAAACATTCAGTGTTGGGAACATTTGCTCTTTTCCCCTGTTATCCCCTATTCTGTCCCTGGATTGTCACTTTTGTCTGAATGTCTCAGCTCAGTTTCCAATTATGTTATATCATCCTGTATAGAACAAATGACCCAAGATCTGCATATTCTGGTTTTTTTTTACACTGAAAAAACTGCATATTTTCCCACTTTGAGATGTACATACAAGGAGACACATCACTACCCAGAACTCATTTCTTTCATGTTCCATCTGGATTTGTTTTTAAGACATATTAAATAATGTTCAGAATCACATAGGTGACTGATCAATTAGGATGTCACCTTGTTTCGATGTTGAGTCTTGAAGTAGTGCTATATTGCACAGCATTCAGAATTAATGCACTTGTGTTATACAGAAGGGTGCGTTAGACACATAAATACAATTGGTAATTTGAAATGTAAATCATAAGACCAGCAAGCATAACCTGAATTCTAAGATGATAATAGTGATCGTAACTTAAAAGACGGTATGCCAACATACACTTCTTTCCCTACGTTCCCACAAATATGATTTTTACGAGTAGAATCTTCCCTGATGATATTTTTTTGAAACTAAACTTGAACCTCAACTAATTGCCTACTATAATACCAAAAATACATCACTTTAGTTTTTCATTTTCTGAGCTTTCAAAGAAAATCCATTTTAAAAGAGAATGCAGGTTTTTGGGTATAGATACAATGTAAAATAAGCTAGTTTTTGTGTATTTCTGTGTGTGCGTGGGTTCAGTTGCTTCTGTTACTTAATGGATTTCCACGTCAAGACCAAATTTGCTTCATGATTTCCCTGATCTGCGGTGTGATCTTTGGCCTTTTAATGACACAATTGTTCCAGTTAGTTGGTAACAGCGGTGCTGTTCTGAAAATATATATATATAATTTTTACAAGTTATAATTTGCGTAATTGATACATGTGGTCAAGATTTTGTGTATACTAAGAATATTGGATGAATGCATGGGATTGAAGTGGATACCCCTGACTTGAAAAGAACAATGTATGCCAATTTGGGACAGCAATCTCCAACTGGGTATTGTCCAGCTGGCAGTCTTTGCTAGAATATTAAAGCTGTGAGAGTCTCAATATTCTTCTTATAGAGTCCCCCTTAATAAGAACTGTACCTTTACAGGGACTCTATCATTTTGGGGGGAGATTGCCTTTCATGGTGATTAATCATATTCTGATGGTATATCTGAAATACATTTACCTGATCTGGCTTTTTTGGAGGGGGGTTTGTGGGTTTTTTTCACCAGCCGGATGGCATTTGAAAGAAATCAAAGTGACTAAATCATGCTTCAGCTTAGGGATAATGAGAGTGTGTTGTGTTCTGCTAATCAGGCTTGATACCATGAAAGAAACTTGCAACCATCTTTTTTTTTTTTTTTTTTTCTCCTTGGAAGGGGATGGGGAAGAGGGATAGCGGGTGTCAGGAATAATCAGTGAGGGGGTTCAACATGCAAGTAACAAGGATGGTTTCTACATTGTACATTACAATCAGGCTAACAGTATCACTAAAGGCCTGATCTGGAGGCAGAAGTGGCAGGCAAAGCTTTGTCTCTTTGGTAGCCCCCTCTTTTGATTAAACGGTTTTTCTTTGTAAGGTTTTTTGCCCCTTATTCTCCTCATACATGAAAAGAACTTTGCTGTTCTTCTTTATAGCCTACAGGTAAACTTCTCTTCTAGTGAGAGTATTGACAGGAGATGGCTTGTATTCCCCCGTTTTTGTAAGGGGAATATCCTCAGGGTTGGCTTCCTCATTTTTGCTGAAACTAGCTGCACTGAAGGTCTCATAGGACGAGGTCAACTTTTTGTTCAGGAGGTTTCTGTTGCGGTCACCCATGATGGCAGCCTCGCCATTGGCCAGCTTTTCCTGGCTTCCTCGTTCATCAACAGGCATGAAAGTGGAGAGTTTGGGCTGGCTCTTCTTCCTCTCTGGAGAAGTGCGGACCGGCATCCAGCAGGAGTCTGAGTGGCCATATTCATCACACTCACGGGTACACTTCCCAGTCAGGGCTACATCTGGAAGAGGTCTTGAATCTGAAATTCAAGGAGAAGGAGATGTTAAAGTTGGACATTCTGCAACAGGCTGTCCTGATTTCTCTGAAATTGGAAGGAGGGGATATATATATACATATATAATATGTATATATATACATATATAATATGAAATTTATCATTATATTCCTTTTATCAACACCCCAAAGTTCATCACGCCCATAGAACTTTTTCTTATTTCATATCCTCTACAGATAAGGTTTTGCAAAAACATCAAATATTGTGGAAAGAGAGGAATGAACAAATGAATACACTTAAGCATGTAGAAGACAGGTACATATGCATTTGTTACAGGACAGGGACGTGTGTCTAGTCTCAAGTAGAAATAAAGCGCATATGTATATTTGTCTGGGTATAAATTTTTCCACATGCATAAGAAAAGTTATTAAATCCAAATAGATAATTTTCTGTATTTATAAATTATCCCAGAAATCGTGTACTTTTGCCAATTGGATTCCTTCCTGCTTATACATTATTCATAGAATGCAAATATGCAAAACCTTATATTTAAAATACATTCTAAAACATCAGGGTGACTCAGAAGTAGAATCTAAATTGACAGCACATCATGTGGTAAAAAAGTAAAAAAAGCAAAGTACAAATAGGTTATGGGCGTGAACATACTAGCAATATCATCACGTACCCCACCCTAGCCCACACCCACCTCCCACCCACATGTCAAATGACCTAATATGTGCTGTAGAATAATCCCTTAAATGTTCGCATAGAAATATACTTGCCAACATGTTTGCTGAATAGGAATATTATGTGAAATGCAATGTATTGGGTAAATGCAGTCAAGCTCCTAAAGTTTTGATGAAATAGCATGTAGTCCTAATTAATGTCGGTGCCTAGTGGAATGGGAAATATCTTCTGTCACTATGAAGCTAAGTCATATTTAGAGAGTGCTTAGGGATCAGGATTACAGATGGAAATTAAGAATTACCTGTATATGTAAGTAAAATCGTTAATATGCATCTGTCTTTGGAGAAGAGGTATGTATTTTCTTGCTACTACAATTTTTTTTAACAGACTTTGTTTTTATTTGAAAAAGAGAGAGAGAGAATAACCTCTGGGGTTTTATTTTATATGTTTTGTAGTCTATTTTATTGCCAAACAGAAGAACATAATATGACTGTGCTCCAATTTACATCATATGGCATGTATATAAATATATATATTTATAAGGCTTTGGATGTAAAAGACTGACAAATTTTAACCTCTGTAAATAAAGTCACAATGATGTAATCAGTGAGATTTGTCTATACATAATCCTGGATAGATTTGGATTAAAATACAAGAAGGGGTTATTTAAATTATCCCCCAAATATTTATACACTCTGCTTTTGTCTTAACAAACCTTCCTCTGTACTTTAACATAACATTCCTATTTTGGTTATCATTTGTATAGACTATTTCAGGAGTTTTTCTCTACCAAATCTCCTAAATTAAGGCAGTCCAATGCATACCATTTTTTCCTGCCGTGATGGATAACTGAAATATTGATATTTGTCAGCCCATTGATTTTTGAACCACCATGGCCTGAGATTTGTATGCAGTGAGCAGAGAGTACAGTGAGGAAATGCCAGTGTACTTCATAGGAAATCTAGAATGACTTCTTTTTCCCAAAGGTAAAATGCAAAGATAATTATTTATTGGAGGCACGTGTTGTGCTGCTATCGGACTTCTAAGTGGGGAGACCTTATCTATTTTATCATCAAAAGAAAAAAGGCACTTTTTATTCATTTTTTATGCCAAATTTCCTTTGTGTTTTCCAACACATATTTTAGATGCATTTAAAAAATCAAACTATTGGCAGATTTTATTAATGATTTTTGTAATATGGCTAGTCTAAATGAGCAGAATGTGAGTTCTTTGGGGAATATTTTCTATCTTGGGATACTCACTTATTTGAAGCTGACCTAAATGCCGTGAACAGGAAAAACCCTTATAGAAATGCAAAGTGCAAGATCAGACCTATCTTACTCTAAATATTCCTTTTTTTTTCCCATTGCTTTAACAAGTTCAGACTTTTTTGTTTTTTTCTCATGTGATAGTGCTTATCAAAGACACAAAGAAATAATCAGGGCTAAAGGTATCAAAATAGGAAAGATCCCTTTGAATGCGGTTGTCATTCCCTGCAGAAATGATCCAGAATGTTCTCCAATCATCTGAGTTTACTAAAGGCTCACACAATGTGTCAGTTCACGTACACAGTGACTTACAAATTCCCTGATTTTCAGGGATTAATTTGTGTTTCCAGTTTCAAATGTGTAGCATTTTGTCTTTCCTTTGTTTGAGACGCATCTAGAGACAGCCCAGAAAACTGTGTGATATGCAAACAACTCTTCTTACCTGTTCTTTTACTTACGTACCTGAACTCTGTGTAGCTCATGAGAAATTATATTTCTTTAGATCGACTCAATTTCTCATCAGCTAGACGTGAGAGACTCTTCAATTTCTTCCCTCAGCCCTTACTTCATAGTCTAGATTATCTCCTGCTAAAATCGGTTTCCTCTTACTGCTTTTAACAAAAGACAACTTGTCTTCTCTGCCATCAGCCACATGTTGGCTGCCACGTCTCTATCCAAGAAGCATGACTTTTAATAAGGATCTCCCATCATTTCCAAAGTCAAACACTTGATTGGGGACCACAGTGGAAGTTGACAAGCCTAATTGGCTTAGACATGTTGCAGTGTTTGTCATCAGATTTAGAAAATAATCAAGAAAGGCTATAAGAGATTCATCACGAGCAATCAAAACTTCCAATCTTGATGACTCAAATGAATCCTCAAAAGAAATGCCAATGATTAACAAATGCAATTTGTATTATGATGCAATTTATTAAGGGAAGGCATGAGTGGAATAGTATTTTTCTGTGTTCTAAATTTTCTTATTTTAATTATGCAAGTCTATTTTTTTAACACAAAAGTTATAAAGGGTCTTAAAGAATCATCAAAGACACTACTTTCTCCCTTTCATAAAAAAACAAACAAACAAACAAAAACAACAACAACAAAAAACCCTCTTAATATGTCTTATTTGGTGGAATTATAGAGCAATTCCAGACCCTGGGATCAACTAATAACCCTTCGTAGTCTTTCAGTCTTTCACTGAAGATATGGTCTTGATATCAAAGAACATTATTTCATGCTTTAGTTTAGTACTATTTCTTTAAATTTGGACCTGAGTGAAGAAGATTTACTCTATGCCTCTTGTCAGTTGGCATTGAGTAAATCAATAAAAGGTGAAATACTCTATATCAAAATATGGTGGTGTTCTCTATCAGCATTTTCCACAATAAAATCAGTTCCTTTGAGCCCTCCTGCATACCTCCCTGCTTAATCACATCACAGCCTGAGAAGACTGGATGTAGAAATGGTATTCATTAGACCCTATGGCTCCTTTAGCATTACTTGGACAGTTCTAGTTTTGCTATTTACTAGACCCATTACATCTGTTTGGGGAGTAAAGTCCTTTCTTATACATAGAGTTAATTTCCTTTTGAAAAAACAGTCTTAAGACATCATAATGGCAAAGAATTTTAGAACAATTTATATAACAAGAAAGTACTTTCCCACAACTCATTGCTTTTACTTATCATCTCAGCCAAAGAGAAAGGAGGATGGCAGCCATGGGGGGTCCAGCCTGTGGGAGAGCTGAGGCCAAAGAGTAAGTGTTTTGACTTTCACTTTAGTGTTTCTCATAACACTACAGTGCTCCTTCTTAAAATGTAACAGCTGAGTGGTTAGAGGTCAATTACTGCTACCCAAGGCCATAAGAAAGAGCAGAATTACCAAAGGAAGAAAAAAAAAAGTGTCTGAGCAGCACAGTGGATAGATGCTGCCAAAATCACAAATTTTTTACCACTTAATGCCAGCAATGGTGTAACCTCCTTACATTTTCTAACGCGGAGGAAATGATAACAGATTCAAGAATTCCAGCTCTTTCTCTGAAAAGTGTTATTTGTCCTAACTGGGCTCGGTGGATGAGTTGGTTGCAGAAGATGCTGGTGCAGTAACTTCAACAAGAGGTGACAGACAGACAATATGTGAAATCATCAGAAGTAACAAGGAAAGCTTAGGTTTATGCAGGGATTTCATGTCTCCAAAAGCTGTCCTATACATTTCAGAAACCGTTAGACATCTTTATTACAGAAGAGAACTGAATGGTTAAGACTTTTGAAAAGACAGCTCTGCACCAGGAAGGATTCTCACATGCTGAGTTACCCATTCTGCCGGAATCCTGGACACCCACTCTACTCCAGGCCCGTGCCTGGGGGCTGAAGATACAAGGTTATTTTCATCCCTTAAGAGAAGGCTTGAAAATGTTGCATTTAGTTTTAAAATATTTCCAATGAGTTTTTTTTAAAGCTCAGATATTTCATGCTATATGCATAGTTTGCATATTTGTTTAACATATGAATTACTTTATTCTCTGGTCATGTGATAAATGAGTAATTGGTCAATGTGTAGATGGTCACACAATTTGTTCTTTACATGCAAGCAATGGGATTTTTTTTTTTTTTTTGAAGATTTCATTTATTTATTCATGAGAGACACAGAAAGAGAGAGAAGCAGAGACATAGGGAGAAACAGGCTCCGTGCAAGGAGCCTGATGTGAGACTCAATCCCAGACCCTGGGATCATACCCTGAGCCAAAGGCAAACGCTCAACTGCTGAGCCACCCAGGCATCTCAAGCAATAGGATATTTTTAACATTACTTGAGAAAATTCTACAGTGAAAAGTTGTGTTATTCTCTCCTTTTGGAGAGAAAAAAAAAAAAAAAAACAACACATACAGTTACCTTGTACTTTTCCTTCTTTTTAAAGTATTTAGTCTTCTCTTTGCATGTCTTGACTTTCTGTAATATGAAGATTTATTTTCCAAAAGGCAAGCCTAAGTTATGGTGTAATTTGGTGGACAATGAAAAAGCATTTACAAAAGGATTAACTAGAAAAAAGAAAGACAATTGGTAATGG